AATATAAGGAAGGAGGCTGTGCAGAGCACTGTGGGTAATTTTTTTTTTTTCTTTTGCTTCAATTCTGTTTTAAGAATGTGCGCAGATAAGACCCATGGCTGCAGCTAGGATTGGGTACTGCATACTGTGTGGCTTGGAAAGGAGATGAGAGTTCGGCCTAAGGATGCCCTGTCTCCCTGCTCTTTTCCTCACTGTTCTCCATGCCCCGACTGCCATTGTTTGTCACTCTCCCACATGCTTGCCTCTCTGTGGATTCCTGTCCCCCGTGTTGCATAAATACACAGGTGCAATGAGGGTATGAGTTCATCTCCTGAACTCTAAGATTAGAAAAGGAATCACAATACATTCTTTGTGTGCATGGCAATAATCATGGAGAAGAAAGGAGTGGAAAGAGGAGGAAAAAAAGAGCTGGAAGAAATGGGTGGAGTGCTTGGGGAAGGCTGCATGGCACAAATTGGGAGTGTTCTTAGGACCCGGCCAAGACATCCAGGAGTGAGAGAGAAGAGGACCCTGTATGTAGTCCAGAGGCCATCGGTGCCTCCGCAGGGAAAGCACTCATTAGACTTCATTCCTGACTTTGTGGGGAGGAAGAAGAATGCATTAGGTCCATAGTAACAACCAAGATGGCCACTTACTAAAATCACATCATGGTTCGGAAGCGGGGCCCTGGCGACTTGCTCCGAGGCGTCCTTCAGAGTCCCGGGGCTTTCTCAGAAGGCAAAGGACATCTGGAGGCCTCAGTCTATAAGTATCGATGATAGTTTAGATAAATGATTCCATATTTTACTCCCCAAGTAATTGGAAACGAGGAAATAAGTAAGTGTGGGGCTGAGTGGAATATGACCCATTGACTTATGGGTGTGTTTTTTGTTGTTGGTTGATTTTTGATGTTATTCGAGGAATCCCTTTGAGTGTAAACTGTTCCTGTCTGGTAATCTCTTTGTTTTTGTTTCCTTAATCATATCACTTTACTAAAAATTATTTTCTATATTCTCCTTCCTTTTCATTTTGGGCTTCTGGCCGGATTCATTATTTAAACAGAGGAAGGCACTGAAAACAATTTTTGCCTTGTTTATTCTTTTTGCAAACAACATCCCTTTGTGGGTTTAGTTAGAGATTTTTTTACTCTTTGCTAATCGACACCAAAATAAATAGACCCTTAAAGCTGTCAGTGACACCAGCCAGTTCTGCAGCCCGAGTTCTGCAGGACCAGGCCAGATGGCAAAGCCAGGCCCCGAGCACATATAATGTGTGTCTGTAGCTCTTGGCTCCAGCAGCCCGGGCAGCTGACCGCCTTTTAGAAGGCATCAGGGGGGAGGGGGCAGATTCTCCACCGCCCACTGGTTCTGTAGGGTGTCTCCAGGAATAAGCCCTCCGGTGGCGAGAGTGGTCTAGTGTACCAGCCACGGCACAGGCTGGATTTCCCGAACTCCCGTTCTGTGATAAGTCACTGTCACGAAGCTTCCCTCTCAGCTCTCCGTTGTGTAAAGTGGAGCGGGAGAGCTTGCCCCTTTTTCTGGATTTTCAGATCGTGTGGCAGGAGGGGTTGCACAAATATGCAGGTGCAGTGAGGGTATGAGTGCATCTTGCACGAGTCACACTGACAGGACAGAACCTTCATTCTGTCCAGCTGGATCTTATCTCAGCACTGTGGGGGTGAGGAGAGAGCATTCGTCACGTGGGTGGTGGAGGGTCATAGTCCCCGGGAGAGTTTATTGTGAGTGTAGCTGAAATATTGTGCTTTGCGCTTCCAGATAGGTAATGAACCAGTGGACTGCCTGGACCTCTGAAGGAGGGGTTGTAAGAGATTCTGATGTCTCTTCCCCTCCTCATCCAAGAGATTGGGTCCAGGAGATCGGTTTTTCTCTTTTAAGCTCATGAGACTACACTGCTCGTATCTTCTAAGTCTGCAGAGGACAGGCTAGCACACAGGATCAGGACAAGTTTATGTGCAACAGAACATGTAAACAAGGATTTCTCGTTGGTTATCTCACAGAAAGAACCCAGGTCCTTCCCTGAGTTTGCAAACCCTTGGCCTTTGCAGAGGGAATCTTGATGGTCAACTAAAATTTTAGGAGAAGCTGGTTGTTGTTGTTGTTTTAAATACATTTTTATTGATTTCAGAAAGGAAGGGAAAGATAGAGAGAGATAGAAATATCAGCCTTGAGAGAGAATCATTGATCAGCTGCCTCCTGCATACCCACTACTGGGGATTGAACTTGGGACCCTTCAGTCCACAGGCCTACGCTCTATCTACTGAGCAAACCAGCTAGGGCTAGAAGAAGCTGGTTTTTGAGGGAGGATTTGGTTTAATGAAGAAGGGACAGCTACCCATGGTATAGAGAGAGAGAGAGAGAGAGAGAGAGAGAGAGAGAGAGAGAGAGAGAGAGACACTAAACCTCTCTGAACTTTAATGTATTAACTACAGGTCCCTCTCCATTTTACACATCCTCTCACTGAAGATGGGTGTTAGAACGGAATAGTTTTAGATGCTGTAGCATTTAGAAGGGGGAGAGGGGCGTTTGTTTTTTTCTTTTGATTCTTCTTGGTGCGCTGTTACCACCCTGCCCCATGAAGCATGGTGTGGCTCCATAATTCTGTGCTAAACGGAAGTGCTGGGTTGGAACCAGCTCAGCATTTGCCTGTTTACTGCTTCTCTACACATTATGGCTTCCCTACTTCACATAGTGTTCGCACAGACCAAAAACATGTTTTTTGGCTGTCACCCAGATTTTGGCTTCCACTCCCAGTAATGCCATAAAAACGCTGTCAAATAAATTCTCAGGAACTGAAAGGAACACATTCCCTGCCCCATATAATGGCAGATAATAGAAGCAGGCTTCAGCTGACCACCTGGCTCGGTGCCTGTGGCCTAGGAAACTGGATCGCACTGCCCGCCTTGGTCCTGCCACACAGCCGTCAGAGCTCATTCTCTGCCCGTGATGGATGAGCATTCCATCCATAACATAATAGCACTTAAGTTATTCCTTGTGAGAAACTTGCACACAGCATTTATCTCGACTGGGCCTTTTGAATCCCATAAAATAGTATCTCTCATTACCCTACTCTGTTGCCAATTGGCATATGTTATGAAATATTTGGACCTACGATTAATTTTCTGTTGATAAACTTCTAGCGTTAACCATGGACGGACAGACAGGATCCTTCTGTGTCTGGTGTGTGTATGTATGTGTGTGTGTGTGTGTGTGTGTGTGTGTGTGATTTGTGAGAAATGTTTCCCTTTCTCACCGTGGTTATTGTAATGTCCTTATCATTCACAATCCCAGCTGAAAGGAATGACACATGCATATTAAAATGATTTAGAGGGTTTTATTTAAAAGGTGTGAATGTATGAGGGGATGGGAGAGCTGTTTCTACCCCTAGAACCAAGGAAAGGAAAGGAAAGTGAACCCATTTGCGGTTATAAGACCAATGTATGTGCTTAAAGATTATTGAAGCCCCAAAGAGCTTATGTTTATGAGGGTTGTATCTTTCAAAAGTTACATGTATCAGAAACTTAGATGTAAACATAAATAACTTATGAAAGATAATTTTATTTTCCAAAACAAAAGAATTACATGAGAAGGGTGACATTGTTTATATTTGTGTGCATGTCTTCTGTTCATAGATGGCTAGATTGTTACACCTGCGTCTGCATTCAATCTGTTGTGATATACTAGTCGCCCGGCGCACAAATCCAGGTGCCAGTAGCTCTCTGTGGGGTTTGCCACTCCTCACCCTCTGCCCAGAGGCTCTCTGAAGCCCAGAGGCCCACCGCCGCGACTGAGCACAAAATGCTTGCCTCGTTGCCGTGGTGATGAAGCAAGCATTCTGTCAGGCAGCTCACACTGCCCGCTCTCAGTGGCAGCCCTCTGGGGGGACTCCGCCGGGGGTGAGAGGACTGGGCATTGCCATCTTGTGGCTCTGGGCACCTCCATCTTTGTGACAGCGTGATGGTTAGTTTGCTTATCACCCTTTTATTAGATTGGATTGTTCGGGTAAAAGTTGATGAAGAATGTCCACCTTACACAGATATGAGGGAAAAGTAGTGTCTTTATCTGGTTTTAGAATTAGGATAGTATTGGCCTTTTAAAACGAGTCTGTGAGTCTTCTCTGCTGTTAACTTTTTTGGAATAGTTTGAGATAGGTGTTAGTTCTTCTTTGAATGTTTGATAAAATTCATGTGTGAAGCCATCTGGTTCAGGACTTTGTTTGTTGGAAGTTTTTTTGTTTGTTTTGTTGTTGTTTTTGCTGCTTTGATTTAATTGGTTGCAATCAGTTTGTTCATATTTTCTGTCTCTTTTTTATTCAGTTTTGGAAGATGGCATATTTCTACAGAAGCTCCTTCTAATTAAACACTAACTTCTTGTGTGTATGGATATTGGAACACTTTTTCTTGATAGGTCCATACCTCTTATTATGGATACCTTTTTGAGATAGGAAGTGAAAACTTAAGTTAATGGTTTCTAATATAATGTCTTGATAAATGTTTATTAACAATATCTAATGTTTGTTAGAGTGCTTTTACTTATTTTTTTCAATTTATTTTTATGTCCATTAATTTATTTGACTGAGTAAGGTGGTTTCAAAAATAGCTTTAAGCCAGCCCTGGCTGATGTGGTTGAGCTAGTGTGTGTGTGTATGTGGGGGGGCGGGGGGGAGGAATAGGAGGGGTGGATGGTGGTTATCCTATACACCAAAGGGTGGTGGGTTTGATTCCCATCAGGGCATATCTCTAAGCTTCAGGTTCCATCCGCAGTTGGGGTGTATGGGAGGTGACCGATCGATGTTTCTCTCTCACATCAATTTTATCTCTCAAATCAATAAAAAAAAAAAATGTGTCCTCGGGTTAGGATTTAAAAACAAAATAGCGTTAAGCCAGTGCAGGAAAGAGAAACACTCCTGTATTGCTGATGTGTCCAATAATTGGGCAACCATTTTATCTGCTTGTTCAGAATATTTCAACACCATTAATCCATAATCTTGTTTATCTCTTTAAGATCCACACGGGTTTACAGCACCAAATAATCTGGGCCTGCCAGCCCAGCTGCGTTCCTCTAGATGAAAAACTCCTGCCCCAGCTCCTAAAAGAAGCAGGCTACACTACCCACATGGTCGGAAAGTGGCACCTGGGAATGTACCGGAAAGAATGCCTTCCAACCCGCCGAGGATTTGATACCTACTTTGGTAATGGAAATGCACATGTTGCTTTAACAACTCAGACTGCAGCCATCTCATAAAACACACCCACGTGTAACCGAATGAAACGCTGTAACTGGAAACTTGAACACAGAGTGAGCCCGTCAGCACCACCGTGGGGCCGCTGTCTCATGCCACCTCCGTAACTGTGGCTCACAGACCCCCTGGGGAGGCAGGCTCCTTTGTCAGGTTACTTAATGCCACGTGGGAGCCTTTGGAAAATTTGCTACCTTCACATCCCAGACCATTATACTCTTAGAGAACCTTACTACCAAAAGGGGTTACAACACGATTTTTTTTTTTTTAATTGCAAGCAAAACCCAATACAAGAATATTTCCTTCATAAAGGTGTGGAATATTTTTTTTCTCCCTGTGAGCTGTGGTTAGAGGTTTTTGCTTTGTGTGTATGTTTTTTTGTTTTTTTTTAAAGATGGTGGAGAAGATTCTTTTCTATTGGCATTTTTCTCCCTTTCTTAGAGTTCTGTTTTTGAAATTACTAGATTGGGGAAAATAGATTAAAAAACATAAAATCTGAGGAAAAGTACAGATAGTAATAGGAAGGATAATAAGTAGTATGAAGTTGAGAAACGTATAATAACTAACATGAAACCTAAAGTTTGTATTTAGTGTGCCCTCTTTAAATCTGTTGAGAGCCTTCTTAATTAACAACCTGTGTATTTTGGCAGTGGCTATATATCTTTGCCAGGTTTTTTTTTTTTTTTTTCATACTGTTTTCTTTCTATCTAGCTATTTTGATACCTGTTTCCCCTTTTTACATATTCATTTATTTTCAACTTGCCATATCTGAAAAGGAATACATATTTCAGCATAAAACATTTACAAATGAGTAGAATGAAAAATTAGAACAGATAGAAAAAGAAGGAACAGTTGCTTGGCACAAAATTAAGAAAACCATTGCATGGTTGTAGGTGGGCTTCCCATTCAACTCTGAGAGTTGAAATTTTTTTTTTAAAATATATTTTATTGATTTTGTTCAGAGAGGAAGAGAGAGGGATAGAGAGTTAGAAAAATAGATGAGAGTCATAGATCAGCTGCCTCTTGCACACCCCCTACTGGGGATATGCCCGCAACCAAGGTACATGCCCTTGACTGGAATCGAATCCGGGACCCTTCAGTCCCCAAGCCGACGCTCTATCCATTGAGCCAAACCGGTTTCGGCAAGAGTAGAAATATTTTATGTCCAAAGCAAAATAAAAAAAAGGTAAGTCTATAAGAGTCACATTATTTATAAGATAAATGGAAACCAGATGTTCAGGAAGAGTAAAGCATTTTCTGGCTCTTAAACATGAGAGAAATTCCTCCTTTGGGAAAAGGTAAGGTGGAGAGCGTCCTCAAAGACATCATTTTAGAAATAAAGTGGTGGTTTTCTTACAGATGTTTCCTGAGGCATTTTTCTCTTATGCAAGCTGGGACCAGAGCACTGATGTGCATTTCAGTAAAAGTGATTTCATGGGGCCCAAACAATGCAGTCGAAGCACGTAGCTTTGAAGCGCTTGTTGGATCAGGCTTAACGTTGAGTTGCAAGGACCTCAGGTGTGAGACCCTGGTTGTCCAGGTTCTCTAACAGACATCACTAGTTAATCATGGCATTCTCTGTGTGTGAACCGGACACATCCTGAGTATCCTTAAATAGCTGTTCAAGATCATACTGAATGTAAGACCTCTGTCATTTCGGAAATTCTAAAAGAAAAAAAAGCCTTTGAAATTTTTCAGTCAGGTCTTTGCTAAAATATGGATCAGTACCTATACTGTGAAAGAGAAAAACTATGGATATTTAAAAAAAAATTATTAAAAACAAGTTACATATTTAGAAATTCAGGACTTAGATGGACAGACAGATCTCACATTCCTATGGATTGGAGACTTGCAAATAAAGAAGGGGTAATGACATGCCGCTGCCATCACTGTTATGCTCCTGATGACTGGTAATGACGGAGGATCAACTAACCGGAAGTCAGTCCTGCAGTCAGCGCTGCTGCAGGTGCAGTGTCCCAGCACTAACTGCTGGGGGGGCTGTGAATCAGGGCCAGAGAGAGGCCTGAAGAGAGAAGCAGAGACTGATCTATCGCCTCTGTGGCAGTTTTTGATCAGCACTTGCCTCTCTCTTTCTCTCCCAGTCTGGCCAAAAGCTGAGCCTCTATTTCTCTCCAGGCCTCAACCAAGGCTATTGATCAGCCCCACCTTTCTGACCAGGCCCCATTGATAGGCCCAGAGACTCTGACTGGCATAGAAACTGACCAATTCAAACCGAATCTGAGTCAACTGTGAGGAGCCAATGGCTGCCTAGAAGGTGGAGCTTTTGACGCTGACTGTCATAGAAACCAACCAATTAGAACCAAATTGGCTGGCAGAGAAGGGCAGTTTGGGGGTGAGAACAGGCCAGCAGCGGAAAGCAGTTGGGGTCAAGATCAGGCTGGCAGGAGAGGACCATTTGGGGCAACCAGGCCTGCAGGGTAGGGCAGTTGGGGACAAGATCAAGCCAGCAGGGGAGGGTGATTGGGGGTGAGATCAGGTCGGCAGGGGAGGGCAGTTTGGGGCAATCAGGCAGGCAGGCAGGTGAATTAGGAGCCAGCATTCCCAGATTGTAAGAGGGATGTCCAATTGCCAGACATCCTACAAGGGGTCCCTGATTGGAAAAGGTGCAGGCTGAGCTGAGGGAATCACCCCTCTGTGCACAGATTTCGTGCACTGGGCCACTAGTATCTCAATTATGCTGTTAAATAGAGCCGTCAGAGATTTAGATGTTCAAAAAGTATTTTCTCTTTTCCCCCCAAAAAGTCTAGGCTGCCATCTACTTTAGGCTCAGCATATAAGTTCAAATTGTGGATCATTCCTATGACAGAAGTTCTATGGGATTGTAACATGGATGCTTGGTGTCAGTTTAGTCAAATATGTGAATAAATAGTTGTATTTCTGGAATCCTATTTGGAATCCTATTTTTTATATTTGTAGTTGATCCTCTTTTAATCAAGTATTATATATTCTATGCATATATTCTCCCAAATCATAAAAATACATTTATGGTTAAGAAACCCGAAGTGATTTTCTGCAGGACTGATACCCAGTACTTAATAAAAACCCCAAATAGAACCCCTATGCCATGTTCCCTCTCTGAACAGATACAGGGGCAGAAACTATTTTTGTGGACACATTTCTTTCTCTTACATATTAATTAGCAAAGCCATTAGGTTTCCCTTTCTGTTTTATATGTAGGAGAAAAATTACCATTTAAAACATTATTTTAAGACCATTGTTCACTATATTCAGAACCATGAATTTAGTGAATCATAGCAAAGGAGGAAATTAATTAAAAAAATGAATTGATTTATTGTGTAAATTGTGTAAGGCTTTTAATTGTGATTATAGAAAACATTCAGACTGGGGAAAGGGCTAGGCCAATTTATCATCCTTACTTTAAGGTTAATAAGCAGTATTTGTCAGGCGATAGATAGCTCAGAGTCCAGCACAGTTTATTTCTTTTTAAAAGCTTTATCAAGGTGTAATTCACATATCATGCAATTCACCCAATTAAGGTGTATAACTCAATGATTTTTTTTTCAAATACATTTACAGTGTTGTCCTCACAATTCAATTGTATCGAACATTTCCGTCACATCCCCAAAGAAATCCCATGCCCATTAGCAATCACTCCCTATTTTCCCCCATCCCTGCCAGTCCTAGGTGACCTCACTAACTTAGGCTTTTGTCTCTAGTAGATTTGCCTTATTCTGGACATTTTGTATGAGTGTCATCATACAATATGTAGCATAGCATATCTCTGTTTATAAAAGGCAAATATGCTAAGTGTCCAACTGATTGGTAGATCAGTCACTATGATGCACACTGACCACCAGGGGGCAAACACTCCAACTGGTAGGTTAGCTTGCTGCTGGGCAAGATGGGCTGGACATGCCCTGGAACCCTCCCGGGATCCCTTCCTGGCTGGCTGGCCCTGATGAGCTCCCATCAGAACTGAGCGAGATGGACCCCAATCAGCCCCAATCAGCTGCCAGGCTGAGGGACCCCACCTGTGCACGAATTTGTGCACTGGGCCTCCAGTTTTAATATATTGGGAAAATGTGGAACATTTGCAGAAGCAACTGTTTGTTGAGAAAACTCTTTTCCTTCCATGGTTAAGTCTGAATTATGAGATAGGCAGTTAATGCCATTTAAATTTGGGGTGAAATTGAGATCACAATAGGTAGAAAAATCTAATTTTAGTGCTGCACATTAGTTTGATCGTTTGGTCCTGTTATGTCTAGAAATCCTCCGTTTGGAAAGGTTTGTGTCTTTGACCAGCGGGTGTCAGTGTCTGACTAAAGATGATTCCTCCTCAAGCCACTTCTATAAATAACCTTGACGCCAGTCTTCAAAGGTCAATATCAATATTATTCGGTTCCTGCAGTTATTTATGTGATCACCTCAGAATAAATATTTGTAACAGTTAACATTAACTATTTTAGCTATTAGATGGCTTTAAGAGATTAAGATGTTATCACCTTTACTGAATTTGAGCCTTGACTTTTTAAAAATGCATTTACTTAGAATCACCCACGTTGAGAGTTACATGATAGAGCTTGTGTGCTAAATAAAGACTTGAGTGAGGAGTGGATTTGAATTTTTTTTTTTACAATTACACTTTAATGCCATCTGCTAGAAAATATAGAGATGTTAAGAAATGGTGCTCTGATTAACCTTGTCTTCGGATTAGCTTTGTCATGGGTAATCAATTGCATTAGGCAATTAAACACTGGAACATTAGTTTAACAAGTTTTATGCCATGCTGACTACTTTCACCTCCCATTCTTGCTGTAGGATATCTCCTAGGTAGCGAAGATTACTACTCCCATGAACGCTGTGTATTTATCAACGCTCTCAATGTCACACGGTGTGCTCTTGATTTTCGAGATGGTGAGGAAGTTGCAACAGGATATGAAAATATGTATTCAACAAACTTATTTACCGAAAGGGCTACAGCCCTCATAAACAACCATCCACCAGAGAAGGTAAGTCTTGTCTTTTTGTTGATATCAAGATTGTGTTCAGAGAGAGTCTCCACAGATGAGTGTAGGAAGAGGCAACTTTCATTGAGAGACACAGCTAATACATTCTAGGGGGATTGTTTTCAAGTTTTAGAGTGCACTAGGATCAGCCCGGGAAGCTTCTTAAAAGTGAAATTCCTGGAGCCCATAAGAGTCTGATCTCACATGTCTGCGGAAATCTGTACCCCAGCATTTTAAAGGAACTCCTCAAGGATGATTCTGGTTAAAATGGTTCCCAGATTACACTCAGAGAAATACTGTATTATAGTGTTTTAGTAGAAATATAGGTTTATTATTTGGTGCATTATGTGCATGTGCTATAAGTAATTAGCAAACTGGCATTAAAAAATGATAGGCTTTTATACAGGATGAGGTTTTATTATGGCAAACTTTCTATTAAGAGATCACTAAATTTTAGGTTCAGGCCAAATTCTCTAACTTTGTATTCCTCCCCAACACTCAAGATCATTTTAGCTATTCTAGATATTTTGCAAACCCTAGATATTTTGTATCATCTAATTTTAAAATCAGCTGGTCAATTTCTTAAAAGAAAATATGCCTGCTTGGATTTACATTTCATTAAATCTATAGACGTTGGGAAGAATGGATGTCTTAAGAATATTGAGTCTTCCAACCCATAAACATGGCATACAGATGAGCTTGTTTTTTACATTTACTATCCTGAAACCATTGTATACTTCATATGACAAAATCTTTTGACTTATCTATAGGTAAAACTAGAAGAGTTTGAATAGCCTTAAACATTTTTTTGCTAGCCTAGAGTTAACCACATGAACTAAAATTTAAGCTGAATTCTCTGGGCCAAATATTTGTGTTGCCAGACATTGGGCTCAAAATATACCTTTATTAAGAACTGCATTAGCATACCCACGAAGTTAGACCTTCAGTAGGGCTCTGGCAGAACAGATCACAGAATGTGTGGTGTTGTCTGGTTCTTCCCATTTCCTGCACTTTGCCTCCTCGACAATTACTGAAGTGCTCAGCGCAGATCACAGTTTGGATTCCAGTTTATTTACCTGTGAGACATGGTACCTGGCTGCTGAGTCCCTTTTTGATGTGGTTTCTTTGTGGCTCACTCTTTGCTGTCTTTTACTCAGTATGAGCAGTCTTCCCTGGTATCTGTCCTTAGCTTTGCCACACTTTTGGCTTTTTATCCCTGTTTCATACTGACAACTTGCTTGTCCATGTTTGCTGTGGAACATTCTCTCAAATATGGAGACATGAAGAATTTAATTTTATGGTTATTCTATGTGTTTTATTTTAAACTAGAGGCCCAGTGCACGGATTCGTGCACCATGGGGTTCCTCGGCCTGGCCTGCAGGGACCAGGCTGAAATCGATCTCTAGGTCTGGGGTGCAGGTGAAGCAGATTAGGGCCCCAGGAGCTATCTAACTCAAGGCCGATTCCATGAGGAATCAGGCTTCTTCCTCTATTGGTTGGAGCATCTGCCCCTACTGGTCATTGTGCACCATAGCTACTGGATGAATGATAGAATGGTTGGATGGTTGCTTAGGCTTTTATATATATAGATTTTAATTGATTTTTTACTGAGAGAGAGAAAAGCATTGATTTGTTATTGTTTCATTTATTTATGCATTCCTTGGTTGCTTCTTATATGTGCCCTTACCAGGGGTCAAACCCATAACCTTGGTATATTGGGACGACACTCTAACCAAGGGAGATACCTGACCGGGCTTAGATATATACAGATTTTAAATCTGGAGCTACACCAATATTCAGACAGTTGAAAAGATAACTGCTAGGTAGTTGGTTTGCGTTCTCAGTTTTCTTCTGTATGCTTGACATTTGGATACAGCTAAAAACCCAAAGAACAAGGTAAGATCTTAATGGAACTGTAGTCTTTGTCCTGTCCTTTGAGGCAGGCACTATGTTGCAAAGAAGCACACTGGCTTAGTGAAGTTAACTAACTTGTTCAAGGTCACAGAGCTATTGAGAGTCAGAATCAGATTCTAAACCCACACTGTTTTTCTCTAGAGCTCAATGCACCCCCTATCCACAGTTACTATCCACGACCAGAGACTGTGAGCCCCAGTGTATGACTCATCCTGACCGTATATTGGGATCATCTGGAACACTTGTAAGAAATACCAATTCCGAATATTGTGGTTTATCGGTCCAGGGTGAGACCCTGTGGTTGGTATTTAATTACCTCTCCGCCCCCACCTCCCACCGGCGATTCTGATGTGCTGCCACTTTTGACGCCCCTCAAACGCAGATTGGAAGCAGAAGCCAACTGCCTTTTACAGGTTCGCAGAATAACTGTGGAACTATATATAGTATGCCTACAATAAACATTAGTTCCCATTCAGGAACAATGGAGAATTCTCTCACAGTGCCCGAAATATTAGGCGGATAAGAGGAAGCAGCTGGGGTGTACTAATTCTTGGTGTGTGGCTGCTTTAAATGGTGTAGTGTGGACAGCACAGGGACTGAGGACAACTGTGGGTCCCAGAGCTCACGGCCACCCAAGCCGGTGTTGTTAGTGTGGTGCTGCTGAGAGATAACTTCAGGAAATTGCCAGGTGAGAGGGTGGTCCTTTTCCTCTCGTGTCTGAAATATCCTGAAGCCACATCCAGCATTCCTAACATCCTCAAAGTAAAGTTTCAAGCATCGACATAAATGAATGAAATAGTCAATAGGTAAGTGATTGCTCAGAAAGTTCCTTTAAAATAGCAAATGCAGATGTTTTCATTTTCAGTTCTCAGTAAAATGATGTCACCCCAGTTCCAGGAGTTGCACTTTATCCCAATGTTGAATCTTCTTTTTTTTCTTTCTTTTTTTTTGGTCTTTTTTATTGAATTTATTGGAGTGACATTGGTTAATAAAATCACGTAGGTTTCAGGGGTACAGTTTGATAATACATCATCCGTATATTATATTGTGTTCACCTCCCCACGTCATCTCCTTCCATCACCATTTACCCTCTCTCTACCCTCTTCTTCCTTCCCCTACCCTGAATCTTATTCTGTGCTAATCCCCAAGTGCTATATATAGACTGTAACATAAGCGACTTGTTCTAGGATGGAGATCACTAAAGAAATTCACACAAATCCTCATGCTAAAAGTGTCTCCATTTTAAAGAGCACTTGCGGGGAAGAAGCGTATGGAGCTGTTCTGTGACAGAAGGACATGGTGATAGCCACCGCAATGTGTCGGGAAGCAGAGTCCCTTCTCCTTTTCGGCAAGATAATTCTGTCAGTGCTAACACCACAGTGTGAAAGCAGCGTATTCATAAAATATCTTTTGGTTAAAAATAGCCCCCTCAACACTTTGCAGAATAAAAATAAATGTTTTCTTACCCATCTGGTCTACTGAAAGCATCTCAAAGCAGATGCAAATTCCTGGTGGTAGACCCTTACTTTCCCTGGGCACAGTTTGAGGAAGGAATGTCTTAATTTGGAAGTCAAAGATAGAATAACAATTTAAAAGCATATCATATGCTTTTTAAATTTATCCTTTAAATAAAGAAACGAAAACAAGACTTTCTCACTGAAATGAGTGTCTTCTTAGTATGGTGAGGATATTTAGAGTAGAAGAATAGACATAATAAGAAAAGGAAATGAACCCCTAGCATCTTATGAGTATGCTAATAATTTTAAGTTGCAGTGTGATATATTATGTAATACTTAAACCTTTGCTCATGACTCACATCTAGGATTCCATTATCTAAGTCCTAAGAAGCCTGAAAGGGGACAGTCGGGGTTTGTAAAGATGGCAGCTGTCACTGCAATGCTTAGCGTAGGATCCGACCCAAGAGAGAGCGAGGGAGAAATCTGGGTTCAGTATAAACCCGGAGGTCAGTGAAGGCCAGATTGGGTACAGGACTCCAGTGTTTTGAATGAGAATGTCAGGTCAGCATGTGCCCGCAGGTCTCCAGAGGCCAGGGCTTGATTGAGTTAGAACTCAGGTCAGTGGATAGGGTGGTACTCAGGAGCTCCTCCCCAGGACGGTGGCTGCTGATGTAGGCCAGCAGAGGCCCTGGCTGGCAGGTGAGGAGGAATTGGCTGCTGTTAACAAGAAGAGCCTTGGGACTAGTGGCTGTAGGTGCCTCCCGATTATGGTTGGAGACCTTTAGAGCCCTGGGTAATTGTTCTTCCACTGGGCCACCACGGTGTACTGAGAACAGTACTCTATAAAATGCTCTTAACTTTATAAACAGTGTAGAAACACCTCACATCTGGCACTGTCGGGAAATAAGATGCCTCACAAATAAAGTTCACCTTGTGAGTGCTGAAACCTTATTTTTATAACATTGGATGGAAATACTCTAAAATGTGTTCCCTGGTCCTCACCTCATTAAATGCGCTGCACTATATATCATTCTGCCTCCGCCTGCTGACCCAAAGCCCTGTTGATGTGTATGAAGCTGTTTGTCCACATACTAAGCGGTTACTGCTGATGAAACGGGAGAAAGAGGACTTGCTTTGGTCAAGGAATACCTGCAGCTGTACTTGTAAGTTATTAGGACCTGGTTGGCAAGTAGTGCGAGGCCTTTGCATGGCCTGTGACAGTCACACGGCTGGGCCTCATCCTCAGAGGTTGTTTTCACTCCCCCTTCTCAGTTATGCCCCTTCTCAGAAGCCTGATGCTGGAAAAAGGGGATTGCTGCAGTTTTCTAATTGTAGGCCCTCGAGAGTGATAGTCCTGCCCTTAGCCATTAAGGGATAATTATTAGAAAGATTTTCAGATAGTTTTTTGCTATTTTTAACGAAGTGAGTAGAAGAATTTCTATACTCGATATGTATAAGGTCCCCTAATGATGGTCCCAGAATTATTATATGTTCCTGGCATGGTTATAAGAACTCTCCCCCACGACCCTCACCTCACTTGCTGGCCGGGACCAACCTCCCTTTTGCCCTTTCTCTCCATCACCAACCACGTGGGTTGCCATGTTGCACATCTTTTTAAACAGGGAGGCTCCTTTCAGATTTCCTCCATCCTGCCCACAGGAGAAAATCCAGACCAGAGTCACAAGCTCTCGTGTTTACCAGAGTCAGGCTGCTTGCCTAAATAAGTGGAGCTGCTCACGTGGCACAGTGGGGACTAGAGAAATGGTGAGCTTCTGAGACTGGGGTCTCTGTTCTCACACTCAGCTGCTTGTTCCTGGATGGAGTGTGGGTGTGGAGTTGTCAGAAGTTCTGTTTTGTTTTGTTTTATTTTGTTTTGTTTTTCAGGAAAATTAAACAAGACAAAACAAAACAGGTTTTTATATGATCATTCCTGATTTTTAAAACTGCTTGCAATTGGGGCTGCAATTGGTTGTAGCCTGACAATTTTTAACCCTATCTAGACCTTGGCTGGTAGCCGGAGTTGGCTTAGTCTAGGGCTAAAGACCAGACGGCTCCTCCGACCGCAGCCCCTCACTGCCTGTCAGGCCATGGATGCCACTTCACGTCCTTCCCTCCAAACATCTCAGCCCAGGGTCCTTCCTCAGCATTTACCTGGTCACAGCATCCCCTGGGCTCTCTCACCCGGATGGGGAGGAGCGCAGGAGTGTCCGTGTGACGTGTGTGGCTGGAGTAGGAAGTGTGTGTTTGGAGGAAGAGTGGGGCTGACTGAGTGCCAGAGCTTTAAAGTTGACCTTTGGAGTTGGAATTTGGAATGCCTTCCCATGGAAGCAATGTACAAATAAATGAAGCACAGGTTCCATCGTATTATGGTTTTCATTCCATCGCTTACTTTTTTTTTTTAAATATATTTTATTGATTTTTTACAGAGAGGAAGGGAGAGAGATAGAGAGCTAGAAACGTCGATGAGAAAGAAACATTGACTAGCTGCCTCCTGCACACTTTTTACCGGGGATGTGCCCGCAACCAATGTACATGCCCTTGACCGGAATTGAACCTGGGACCTTTCAGTCCACAGACTGACGCTCTACCACTGAGCCAAACCAGTTTCGGCCATTGCTTACTTCTTTAGTTAAATAGGTTTTGAAGTGATTACTTTGATATTTAACAGCTATTTTGAACACTTTGATTTGGGGGAAAAGATGTTTCTAACTGCCAAAGGACTGAGCTACAAATAACCTATGTGAGGGCTGTACATGTATATTCCTTACTTTACCTCAAGGGTATAGAATAAATAATTTAAAACAATTTATCAAAAGTGAAGAATGAAATGTGAAACACCCATTTCCAGTCTGCTTTCTGACTTTTTCCTATTCATTTATGAGATTTAAATGCCTCAAATACTTGAACAGAATTACATATTTATTCTTGGGTTGGACTAGTTGTCTTTTTGAGGGTTTCAACTCATTACTGAAGAATTCTGTAGAAGCACAAAAAGGAGAAAGCTTCAGAAAGGCTCATTAAAAAGGAGAGGCTGACCTGGACTACCACTAATGTAAAAGCTGTAAATTGGTCTGAGAGGTAAAATAGAATCAATGCTTCACGCTCCTTTGTTAGTTTCCAGAAATTAAATTGGCCTTATGTTTGGTCCTTGATCAAAGACTAACAAGGCATGGTATTCATTTGTTTTTTTCATAAAAGCATCAAAAATCCCTACCCTCTACTAAAAGGTGTGAAATTATTTTTCAGCTAGAGCAAAACGTTAAAGCATCTATTGGTACATATCTACACTATAATAATGGGGTTTTCAATAGGAAATTTCTCTGCAATTAATATGAACTTGGGAAAGTCTGAGCCTCAGTTAACTTGCCTGTAAAATGAATGTAACACTGGGTGTTTTGGAGTATTAAATAAGATGGAATATATGCATCTTTATAGTATCTTGCACATAGACATTTCACATATAGTTATGATTGATATTATTATTTGGATCAAAGCCTTCTAGACAATTTTAGAACTCAGGCTTTTATTTTTAGTCTTTTATCATGTGTCTTTTGTTACATTTTTAACATCTTTATTGAGACATAATTCACATACCATAAAATTCAGCCATTTAAAATATAAAATTCTATAGTAAACTCAGAGTTATGCAACCATCACTAAGTTTAAAACATTATCATCACCACAAAAAGAAACTCGGTGCCTATTAGCACAGAATTTATGGCTGATCATATTCCTTCTATTGCTAAGTATTGCTGGAAATGCATCACGCTTTGTTTACCTGTTCATTAAAGGGTGGACTATAGCGAGTAACGCTGCTGTGAACATTCGTGTACAAGTTTTTGTATGGAAGTAGCTTTCATTTTCTAGGAATGGGAATGCTGGGTCATATGGTAGTTTCATGGTTAACACTTTCAGGAACTGCTAAATGGTTTTTTATACTGGCATTCCCACCATCAATGAATTAGTGTTTTGATGTCTCTACCCACACTTACTATTTTCTGTTTTTTGTGTTGTATCCTCCTAGTGGATGGGAAGTGGTATCTCAGAGTGGTTTTGGTTTGCATGTTCTTAATGACTAATGACGTTGAACATCTTTTCATTTGCTTATTGGCCATTTGTTATCTTCTTTGGAGAAATGTCTGTTCAAATTCTTTCCCCATTTTGTAATTGGGTTAATTATCTTTTATTATTGAGTTGCAAGAGCCCTTTATATATTCTCCCTAATAGTCCCTTATCAAGTACATATATGATTTACAGATATTTTCAACCCATTCTGTGGGTTGCCTTGATATTAGTTTTTTTTTAAGTGATAAATCTGAACCTCTGTATATTCACTGCTTCCATGCCCTTCTGACTGACTTGCACAAACTCTCTTCCCAGCCGCTGTTTCTCTACCTTGCTCTCCAGTCTGTCCACGAGCCCCTTCAGGTCCCCGAGGAGTACCTGAAGCCGTACGACTTTATCCAAGATAAGAACAGGCGTCACTATGCAGGAATGGTGTCCCTTATGGATGAAGCCATGGGAAATGTCACCGACGCCTTAAAAAGCCGGGGGCTCTGGAACAACACGGTGTTCATCTTCTCCACAGGTAAGCCTGTCAACAAGAAAATCATCTCCTGGCAAAGCTTAGGACATGGTATTCGATGAATGGAATGAAGACAAATTGGAGCATTTAGCGGTTCCTTATTAAAATGAATGCTCACTGTAAGAGTGAAGACATGCTCATAATGGGTAGAAAGATGTGTCTGAGGAAAAAGGATTACGGGCTTCCCCACCTTTCTTCAAATATCAAAATATTCTGGAGGTATGCTTGACAACAAGTGCTTTCTAAGTAAGTATGAGAGGGCATCACTCATACACAGGCAGCTGGGCACTGACTGCTTGGACTGGCTTGTTCTCAGCAATCTCTGCAGCCCAGGCTCTGTCGGGAGGACTTCTGCTGACTGCAGGGGGCTCTGTGTCAGAGACAGATTGTGACATTATGAAGACAGATAAGAAATGGAGCCATTTAAATCTAGGCAAGAGCCTCCAAATATAGATTTTTTTATATTAAAATTTTCTGACAATGAAAGTTATGCATTTGATTATAGGATAAACAGAAAAGTAGAAGGAAGAAGTTTCTTGAAAATAATTTTTATTATGGCAATGTCATTCCGACTTCTAATCTGTTATATTGAGATATAGTTTCTGTTCCGTAGGGATGTACTTTGGGTATAGGTCTTGGTTTATTCATTATGTTGAGTACTTGAAGAGTACTTCCTGTTGGAAAATGCTGATCCTTTTTTTATAGGAAATTTCTTGTATTATTTAATGTCAGAATTGTTTGACCCTCCATTCTACCTTCCTCCTAGTCTGCCTTCACAGAACTCCTGTTTTTTTGGATATTGCATTAATCCTCTAATATCTCTTTCTTCTTCCCTTTCCTTCCCTCCCTTCCCCTCCTCTTCCCTCTTTTCCCCTTCCCTCAACCATTCTATTGAATTCATTGTAATGACTTAGATTTTAATTATCAAGGACTCTTTTTTGTTTTCAGGTAATTCTTTTTTTGTGAAGTTTTCCCCCCCCCCCACTTTATGGATGCAATTAATAATTTATTTCTCCAAATCCTGTGCTCTTAACCATTAATTGTGTGTGTGTGTGTGTGTGTGTGTGTGTGTGTGTGTGTGTGTGTAGATGTGTGTACCTACGTGTCTCTCTGTGTGTGGGTACACATACATATATTTTTAAGTTTGCTTATACTCCCATCATTGTCTCTCTTCCTTCTAAGGTTGTTTGTATCTTTGTTTTGGTTTGCATTTCATGAAGGAGCTTTCTCAAATCTCTAGTGTTCCTTGGCTACAACCTGAAAATTTAACTAGAAACTCCTAGGGTGGGGTTGTGGTTTGTAACCTGGTGAGATCTACTGTAAAGTGGCTGTGTAAGGGGTGTGAAGTGGCATGTTGAGGAATGAATCTGGTTATTGTACTCACAGTTGTTTTGTTTTTTATGTGTCTCTTTAAAGAGTTAGTTTGGTTTGCTTTTAATCGGGCATGGTTTTTGAACCTAGCAATTATTGTGTGCTTATTATGTTCAGGACATAGCTCTGAATGCTTTACGTGAGTTAGTTAAATTAATCCTCACAATAGTTCTCTTGCAGGTGTGAGAACTGAAGCACAAAGAGGCTGAGTAACCTGCCCACGGTCACACAGCCAGGCAGAGCCAGGCATCAGCCTTTCTGGCTCCACTGCATCTCCTGCCTCTAAGGTGTTGCAGAAGATGGTCCGGATGTTCTTATTGGTCCCCATGGCATAGCAGAGCTTCCTGTATGGTATGCTGCAATACCAATCTCTCCAGGAGCCTGGGCAGGGCCAGGGGCCATCCTGAGCATCCTTGTTCAGCTGCTTTAGTGCTAAACATACACTATAATTTTCTAAGTATTCCCTATTGTGGGAAGGGTTGCTATTACAGTTGTTTTTCCTCCAAAACTTACTCTTCAGAAAAGAGGGAAATATCTAATAGACTAGTACAAGTCCGTACAAGATCTCTTTCTTACTGAGTTTTTATCAACTGGCTATATGGCAAACAGCCTGGAAAGCACCTTGATCAGAGTTGGTACTGAATACTTATAGGGCCACTCACTGAAAGAAGCAATCACAAAAGTAGTCAAGATATTTATACTCATTTAGCAATTATTCCTGGGAAATGATCTCACGATTGTAAGAATTAGCAGTGGTACGTTTATAAAACAATCTTTGTCATAGAGATCAGAGTGATACAGTTTAAAGATAAATTATTTTCTAAAACAAAAGTCTGTATGTATTAATGTATCATACACAGACTGAAAGTGCTCAGACAGAGAAGAGGGTAGCTCTGGGAAGCTGCCAGATATCTCAGAGTGGCTCTTGTGACAATGGATATTGATGTCAAGTAGGCATGGGAAGGAGCTGAATAAAATTTTTTCATGATGTGTGAAAGTGTGGAAAAAAATGTTTTAAGTTATATTTTCTTATATGATTTCAAGTGTGTATATGTAACTTTTAAATAGATAGCTGGCTATTTTATAAACATCCATATCATATTTATTCAAGTCAGCAAAAATAACTTTTGGAGCTTTTCACTAAGAAAATGGAGATTACTTTATAATAAGGTTGTCTCACTATGATATATATACACATATATTTTTAATTACATATTTATTGTTGAAAGTATTACATATGTCCCCTGTTTGCCCCCCCCATTAACCCCATCTAACTGGCCCCCATCGCTCTCCCCAGGCCTTCACCACTCTATTGTTTGTGTCCGTGGTGACACTATGATATATTAGTAGACATATTAGTCTTGGACCATGTTTGCTTTGTTGGGCTGGGCTAAATCCAACTTGATCATGTATATGCATTTTTATTATTCTGTTGAATTCAATTTGTGAGAGGTTTATTTAGGATTTTTGTACCGAGTCAGGAGTGAAAAGTGGATGGGGGGGTTGCTTTTTCTCTCTGTGTCAGGTTTTGTTGTCTTGGTTATGCTCACTTAATAAAGCAGTTTGGGTGGTTTTTCCATTTTTTTTCTCTGCTCTAGATCAGTTCACAGGCTGTTTGAAAGATCTGTCTGGGTAAGCTGGTCACTGAAACTGTTTTTGGAGGCTTTTTTTGTTTGTTTTAATTATCTTCATAGTTTAGATTTTTGCTGAATTATATGTAGGCATGGGTCTTTAAGATACTTTAAAATTAATTTTGCCTGAAATACAGTGAACCCTTTGATCTTGATGCTGAGATTATTTTTCACTCCAGGAAGTTTTCCCTGTTCATATCTTAGCTTATTGCTTTTGTTCTGCTTGATTTGTTTCTCAAAAATACCTTTCATTAGTAGGTTGAAACACTGACTCAGTGTCTCTCTCATCATTTTCTGTGTTTTGTCCTTTTTGTCAGTCTTCTGGATCCAGCTCCTCTGCATTACATTTTTGCAATTTTAATCTGCTCTTTAATGTCGCCAGTGTAGATTGCTATTGATTTTGTTTTTAGTTGCTTTGCAATCCTTTGTTTGCCTTAGTCAGTTCACTGGTCATGTCATTAAGCATTAAAGCTCAATGTAACCTTGTGAAATAAGTTTCTTCTTCTCCAGTCTATAAATTTAGTAGAGGCCCCAGGTGTCCAGCTGGCCTGCCCCAATAGGGACCCATCAGGCCAGGCTGGCAGGAGGTGGGAAAGACGCCGCAGGTGGTTGGCCGGCCAGCCCCCGCTCCTGATTAGGGTATTGGGGGCTGGTTGGGGTGGGGCTGGCTGGGGGAGAGAGGCTGTGTGTGGTTGGCTAGCTGGCCCGCCTCCAATTGGAGTGTTGGGGGCTGATCAGGGCCAGCCTGGTCAGGCATGTGGCGGAGCAGTCAGGGCCTGGATCAGGCTGGTCGGCTGCTGCAGCGTGTGTCACAGCCTCCAGTTGTTCCAGTCGTTCTGGTTGTTCTGCCGTTTCAGTCGCTGGGCATATATATATATATATATATATATATATATATATATATATACAAATGAAGAAATCAAAATGAAAGAGGTGAAGTGCTTTTCCCACGGCCACTACTACTCTGAATGTTTTTCACCCCAAATTCACATGTTGGAATATTAACACCCAATGCGGTGGTGTCAGAAGGTGGGGCCTTTGGGAGATGCTAGGTCATGAGATTAGTGCTTTTATAAGAGACCCCAGAGAGGTCTCTAGTCCCCCTCTTACATGTGAGGACACAGCAAGAAGGCACTGGCTGTGAACCAGGAAGAGGGTCCTCACCATAGGGCAGCCATGCTGGTCTTGCTCTTGGACTTCCCAGCTTCCAGAAACGTGAGGACTAAATTTCTGTTGTCTGTAAGCTAACTAGTCTGGTATTTTGTTAGAGCAGCCTGGATGGACTAAGAGAACCACTCATCTAACAAATAGAAGAGTCAGGATTCAAACCTAGATCTTGAGGTCCATCAATACCTATTAACCCTAGTCAGTTGTGCTTTGTTTCTCATCTTTCCCTTTTATCTTGTCCCATTGTCCTTGATCTCTACTTCTGTTCATAGAACTCAAGCTTTTCCCAAATAGAACTTCTCTAAAATCTTTAAATCATCAGCAGCTACATACTCTTACTCTGAGTATAGCTGTGAAGGGTCTACCCATACAGTGTGCATGGTCCTCTCTTGGGCTGTGGTCACTGTTTCCTGATTAATCACTTCCCAACTACTGACTGCATGTAAATTACAGCCTTGATAGAATAATGTCTCCTTGCCTCTTTTCAGGTAGGGAAATGTGTGACTATTACTGCTGTTGACAAATACTGCTCATCTCATCACCAACATAATATTCTCTTCGTCTAATACAAAGGTTGCCCTTCGATTTCCTCTGTGATAGGATACGATCAAAGTTCAAATCCCAGCTTTCCTGTCTATTAGTTACTGAGACTCTAGCCTCAGTTTCATTATTGAATGCAGGTTGGCTGACCTTTCATTCATTCACACAGTCTCTCATTGCAGAGAGAAAGACAAATAGGACCTAGTTCCAGTCCTTAGGAAACTTGCAGTCTAGTGAGGCAGGCAAGAAAGTGCATTATGATGCAACAGAAGTGTATTTGGATGCGACCCAGGG